AGCGACACAGGCTGGTAAACCATTTGGCTGTTGCATCGGTGCTGAAATGAATAATAGCAAATTGGATGAGGGCATGTGAGTTATTTTAAATGACACATATATATTTAAATATAGCCTTAAAATAATGTTAAAGGTTTAGAACCATTACAGGCTCTTGTACCAACTTGCAAACTCTTCCAAAATTGATTTTAAAATTTGCTATTCTTTCTCTGATGGTTGACAGGGAGATAAGGAGGGCCTTTCTGGGTCACCTCTGCCTGGAACAGGGAGGTGGTAGAAGTGGGTCCTCTCTGTGTCTTTGCATAGGGGCCTCCCATTTTCCCACTGACATCTGAAGTATACAGTTTCTTCAAAGTATTTGGTGCAGAAATATGAAGTCAGTGTTGCAACTTAAATAGAAATTTCTGTGTGACTCTGCATGGTCTTACAGCTCTGTGCTTAATGAGGTCATCAGCAGAAATGGACTCATTCTGCTCCAAGTTTGAGAAGCTTTTTTTGTTTTCATCTGGGGGTAGGTCTTGGGAAAAATTCAGGTTCAGCAGAGGCTTTGGATTTCAAGTGCCTATGGGATGGGGCTATTCGAATTCAAAGTTAGTTTGATACCTAAGTGAATATTTAAAGTAGAATTGGATAAATGGATTTAGGTTAAAAGGAGAGCTACCATAGAACAAATCTTCAGTGTTCTCAAAACAATGTCTAAAGAATCTTCTTTTTTATTTTAAATTTAATTTTAAATGGAAAAAAAGCATTCAGTGGCAGGTCTTCACCCTTCACCCAGGACCAAACAGAAGGGTGTACTATGGAGATGGAGGCTGGAGGAAAAGTAAAATTTTATCAGATTTACAATTTACTTGGACAGGGCCCCCACCATACTTCTAACTGTGCCTATAAAATGGAAAAGACTGAGCATCCAGGAGTCTGATCTAAAGCCTTTGAAAGCAATGAGAATCTACACTGAGTTAAGTGATTTTTCTGGGAGTCTCTGTGAACACGACAAGGAATAATAGGTGAATGCAACACAATGTAGGAGCATCAGATAACAGGGAAATTATTATCATTAGCATAATAGCTACAAGTCAGCACACAAAATCTACTGTTGGGCTCTTTATCAGCATCACAGCATAGGTAAATTTCAAGGCAAGAGCTGAAGGAATATGAAATAATGGCTGTGCAGACTTTGTGGGAAACTCTTCTGAAGCATAAGGGGCAGTCTGCTAGGAAGCATAAATGTACTTCCTTTGGTTGAGGAGGAATGGGAGCTGCCATCATCAGCACTGAGTTGACGCAGGAGGAAAGATTATCTGGGGGGATCCATAGCCATGAAGGGCCGTAAGAGTGTAATACCTGAGTTTGCTGTGGTAGAAAAGGGATGGTCAGTGGGATGAAGACAGGCAGAATGTACTTAAACTAAGAGCCAGAAACAAGTAGCAAGTTTTGTCCACTTTTAAAATGCATCTGGGGACAAATGGGGCAAATGATCTTGATTCAGATCAAAAAGCAGGAACTGGGAGAGACATGACTGTGTTGAAGCTTTGGCTGTGTGAGCAGCTGTGGGAATGTATTCAAGCTGAACCTCTAAAGCTTATCCATTCATTATTAGGTTAGGATTCACACAACACAATTCCAAGTTACTTGGAATTAAAATGGAAATTACCTTTAATTCTTCAGACTGCTGTTTTTTTCTGTTCTGCTTCTTTACATTCCAAATAGGTAGCTGAAATCAAAAGCATTAGAAACTATAGCTTTGGCTCAAGAGGGCAAAGTCTGAAAATTATTGTATTTGTTATTTCAGCTACTAGAGAGCTAGAAAGCATAGTGCTGCCTACACAACAAATAGTCAGATATAGTTTAAGAAATATCTGCTTAGGGACTTTTCTTACAGACACTGACTAACAAAATTAACTGATGTTTTAAAATACTTCAAGTGCCTTAGTGTGTTGAAAGGGCAAAACATTCTTAGGGAAAGTTTGGATATTGGTCCTATACTTCTATGCTTGATTTTCTTCTTAATTTATTTTTTTCTAATCTTATTTAAAAACCTCAAAGATGTTATTTTCAAAGGAAAATCAAAAATTCACCTGTTATCTTGAAATGCTGCACTGTTTTTATGATATGCTGATTGTATTCACCATACTCCAACATTTATATTTCTACTGTATAAATACTAGTAGAAAACAACAAAACAACCTGAATACCTAAAATGGCTGCTGCATACCAGTGAGGAACATTTTACATCAGCTGTGACTATTTAAATCCAGCTACAAGTATAAGATTATGCTTTTTTAAAATTAGAGCATTTATTTAAGAAGATTCCTATATGGTTCTAATGGTTGAGGATGTATATAGACTGCTCACTGTTACTTT